GGCAATTACAATTGTACTTTAGGAGGCGTACGAATCACATGGACTCCAGATTCGGATTCAGTGGGTCGAAATACATGTCGTTAGTTGGGTCTAGTTAAAAGTACACACCACTTTTTTTGTGTGCCAGTGTAATTCTTATGCCTCTCTGCAGTTCTAAAGAAAAATCAGAAGAAATATTTGTCATTATTTCTGTTGCTTGAAAAAGTCATTTGCTGTTGCTATAAATTTTCGTGAAGAAATAAATATACGCGCCTTTTTTTCTTGAGAGCTGCATACTGATTTAAGAAATTATGATAGAATAAAAAATTTCGATGGCTAAGTGGAAGGGCTTTCTTTAACCAAATTCTGAAATAGGGTATTGTTGAAAAATTTGTTGAGTTAGGGCGTTTTCGAATCGGCTGCCGAGATACATACATAAGTCGATCTTCCACAAAGCCGTCTATTTCTTATGCATCGCTTTATATGAATTTTTTTTAGAGACCTGCAGACAGCCCTTTACTCAGATGGTCAGCTTTATCGAGCCAGTCTCGATATTTCTCTTTTCTGGCAATTCAGGGATATAAATTGTTTCTCAAGCCATGGTCTATGTGTGCGAGAAATTTTAATTAAATCAGTTGTTTCAGTGTGAAAAACAACATATCTTTCGTATATAGTGTAGTTTATATGAATGAATATAACTTTAGTTTTCTACCAATGCCAAATTGTTGTTTTCTGTTTACATTATTTAATCGGATAAAGTTTACTTGCATACATTTTTGGAAAATTGGCAACTCTACTCTAAAATAATTTCAAAATTGCTTGGTGTAAATGTGTACGAAACCTTGATCTAATATTTCAATTAACTAGTTAACTAGTTGGCGTTTTCTTTTCTACCAAAAATGCTGTGTTTTCTTTGTCCTTTCATTAGTATTTGTGCGTAGAGGGCGGTAGAAAAGAAAACGTCATAAGTTAAAGTTGCCTTTTAGAACAGACAGCTACCATTTTCAAAAATATAATGTATAAAAAGTTTTATTTGTCTTGCTTCATTTGAAATCCGCATTATAAAGTTTCATTTAGCTTCTCATTTAATTGCAATATAATTTTAAAACTCTACAAAAATATTTTATGAACGAAGTTTGCTTGAACCTCTCTGTATTCAAATGTTTAATTTAACTTGTCTACTAAATTCATTTTGATTAACTAAATAGGTGGCAATCCTACTCAAAATATTTTCGATATACATAAAGCTTTTTAAACCTCTATCGCTTGATACCTATACCAAAATATTTCACTTAACTCGTATTTTTTTTTTTTTTGATTTTCTTGATTGTAATTTTTTGAGAAACTGTCAACCTTCTTCGAAAATATTATCGAACTAAGGCTTTGTTAGACCTCGTATATTACGATACTCCCACTCTCCCTTTTCTCGGTCAGACTAATTCGAGGATGCCTTTCCTGTGATCTGGCACCCATAAATGTTTGACAATAAAATACTTAAACGCGCCCGTAGAAGAGGTCAGGCATTCCACATCTAGATTTGAGCATATTATGAGCATTTCTAAATCCCTAACTGAAGTTTGGCTATCAGAGATAGATAATTATGTATATGCATATCTCCCTTGCCGATGTACCGCTTCCTAAAGAGCAGCAACTTTTGCGTAGAGAACAATACAGCAAAAGTAAACGCTTAGGTTTTAGGTTGATATAAAGCTTCCTGCGTAAGGGAGGAGCCCTTCCGTCAAACTTCAATCCATCCGTGTAAGCTCCACACTGTAAGGATATATCTGACTCTTATGAGCTATGGCATTGGCATCATGTCCGCCGGTGCATCCTTCAGACTTCTAACGACCGCGCACTCATATCTAGCCTCCAGAACCTGAGTCAGATAAGCGCACAGTGGCCCTTAGTATTACCACAGCCTAATCATGAAATTTCTACGGGCTCTAGGCTATTAGGCATGCCGCTATTAGCCAGAATGGAAGTGGTCTAAGTGCCCCTCGAGAGCAATCCAACAAACGAAGGTTCATTGTATTGTCATAGAGCCAGGCAATTACATAGTAGAGTGTCTCACTGTTACCTTCTTTACTCAATGTTAGGTTGACACAACAGCTGCCCATCTAGGATCAAGCCCAAGTACTCGACTCTGTCGGAAGGCGCCAGCCGAATGCGTCCAATTGTACTTCAGTACTTCAGAACAAATTAGTGAACATCTTACTCCTTGGGATTAGTGCTGAATATGTCACGCTCATCTAGAGTATATTTCTTCTTATCTGGCTAAAGTTTACTTACTTACCGGCCCCAAAAGAAAAATTCCCAACTGCTCATTTTGCCACAAATTCTTGTAACAAATTTTTGCTCTTTAATTAAGGAAAGAATTTTTCTTTGTTGCACTGAAAAAATTCTGCAACAGACAAAATATTCCATATTTCATACGAATAAATATCTACATAGACACATACATATCGTCACCTGAAATGCAAAAGGACGTAGCAACATCATAACTGAAATGGAAAAAGTCGTGACTAATATATATATTTTTTTCATTAGATGAGATGTGGGAGTTGTAATTCGATGAAATCCATCATTTAAATTTTTCATTTGTTACAACTTTTTGTATTTCAGCGACGATGTTTGTTACGTCTTTTTGCATTTCAGGTGACGATATATGTGTACTGCTAGTACAACACATTCGCTTTAGCTGGTCTATTTCTAGGCGTATAAAAACCTTTCGGTAAATAAACCATAAATAAAAAGTGAGTGAAAAAGTTCAAATTTTGTTCACTGCTCTTACCGGCTCACAACACCGACTAGCCAGTTGGGGCGCTGACTATCCTCTGAAACTGTACTCACGTCAACCCTGTAAATTTTTGTGCATGAACGTGTATGTGTGTGTGTATTAGAATCTTTTGACGTGCTTTAATTTTAATGAGTTTTATCTACAGTTTGTAGAATATCCTGTAAATTTTAGAATTTTTCTTCACTCTGTAGAATATCCTTTATTTTTGTTTTTGTTGCGTTGAAAATATGTTCTAGCATTATTTTGCGTTACTGTATGTCTAATTCATCCTCTGCCAGAAAATAGTCACATAATTTAAGTCCTACTTCTTTGGCTACAAAAGTGGTTTGATGAAAAAGTATGTAAATGGATTTTTGGATTAGAATTACTTAATGGAGCTAAGCTATAGTGGTCAATATTGACCGCTGGCTATTAATATTGATTATTGACTGCTGAACATTGGCTTTTTACAATTCATTATGCATCATGTTCCGTTAACTTCTGACTATTAAATATTGATGATCTTTGACTAATGACTGTTGAGTGTAGGCCTGCGGTTATTACTAGAAGTTACTGAAAATTAGTCATGACTAAGCTCTGACTATTGATTTTTGACCAACTAACTAATGGCTATTCTTACTCACTATGGACCATTGTCGATTGCCGATTGACTATTTGTTATTGAGTATTGACTGTTGACTACTCATTGCCTTTTGAAGATCGACTAGTCTTTGGACTTGCCTATTCACTATCGACCATTCATGACTCTGAAAGTTTAATGAGGTAAATTTGAACGTATTATACGATAGTTGAGTCTCTTGTAAGGCAATTGAAATACAATAGGCAAGATAGTTTGAAAGCTTTTGTTTATTCTGGCGCGAAAGTCTTACCAAAAAGGCTCCCTTGCCATTTTTTTTAAGCTTTTTTGACAGAAAGCACTAGTATATCATTTTGCTCATTATGCTCTAACGGTCGCAATGTCCGAGTGGGCAAAGCACTTTCGTGCCATTCGAGAGAGCCGAGGAGTCCCCGTGCAGTGGAATTTTTTAAACATTTTTTTTTCTTTTTTTTTAATTTAAGTTTCTTTTAATTTTGAGATGTTATTGTTCTTAAAGGAGTGTGTTTATGAAATTTTTAGAAAATTAATTTTTGTGTATTTTTTCTCTTTTTTTAATTTAATTTTTAACACATCAATATTTTAAAAAGAAAAATGTTGTTTTTAATTTCATTAAATTTTTTAAAACTTGTATTTTTTTCTTTTTCCAAATCAACGTTTTTCATTTAGATCCTATAAATTTTTAGATTCTATTGCTTTAAAATGAAAAATAGTTTTTTTAATTTCATTAAATGTTTAGGGTGTTACTTAATTTTTCCCCTTTTTTATTATTTTTTTATTTAGGCTCCTTTATTTTCTAGATCAAATTATTTTGAAACGAAATTTTTTTATTTTACTAAATTTTTCCTTTTTTTTGTGTAATTTTCTTTAAATTTTTAATTCAGAAATAGATTTAATTCTTTTTAATAACAAATTAATTTTTAAAAAACTTTTCTGTTAATTTTTTATTTTTTTATAAAATTTTTAGATTTTATTGTTTTAAAATGAAAACATTTTTTAATTTGATTTAAATTTGGGTTTTTAAACGAAATTTTAATTTATTTTTTCTTGTTAACCCATTGTAACCATTTTCTAAACCAGTCTTCCAAAATATGATAAATAAATTTTTTACGATTATTTTGTCTACAAAAATTAGAGAAATGAGAAAAACTACATTTTTATTTTTATCTAGTTTCAATAAAATAAGAACCAATAAAAATTGTGATACCTGTTCAAATTTATTCGCCAATGATATTAAAATTTGCATGCAGTAGTTTGTATACTAAATTTTGACTTTGGACAAAAAAAAAATGAACTTTGAAGTTGATTCAAACACTACTTTAAGCTAAAAAATATAATTATTTCAATATGTATATCGTACAAATGCTGGCAAAGGGTTAATTTAATTTTCTTTGATTTTCAGGTTTTATTTTTTTTTTAAATAAAAATATATACATACATACTATTTTTATTTTTATTTAATTTTTAGAACACTTATTTCTAAATGACAAACTGAAAAGCCCTAACACCTGCTCATTAGTAGATCTTTTAACTAGCCTTTCGGAAGAGAAAAGAGCTCCCAAGATAGTTGCCAGAGTTGGCCAAAAAGTTTAACTTAACTAATCAAGTTACTTTTTCTTTCTCATTTCAGCAGTCATCACTCAAAACGACACTGCCTACTTTTATGCTGATAAAAAATTTTTCGCAACGAAAAAAGTAATTAAATAGAAAAGCAGAAAAAAAAACTGGAAAGCTAAACTGTGAAGAAGCACAACTATTTATGCAATTCTAAAGAAAATTCAATCTTTCAACTTAGACCCACTCGAATAGAAAATACAAAAAAAATGCTAACTACTACAATCAACACAACAACAACAGCCACTTTAACTACTACAGACACATTAAGTAGAAGAAATTCGACGTCACATCATCATCATCACAATCCACACCCGCGCTACAACAACACCCACAAAATGTTCTCCCAGCAGTGCCTTTCTTCCCACAACTACAACTATCGACTACTACAGTTTGCTCTACTGTGCACAGTGGTGCTGCAAGTGGTGCCGGTGGCGCACAGTTTCGATATTGGTGAGTATGCGAGCAAAAAATACTAAATTATTCTACGAGCACATCCACAAATAGTTCTTTAAATAATCGTTTTTATTTAGTTCTTTACGAGGAATTTTTAATGAAAATTTTTTTTTGCATATTTTCATAACTTTAGCTTTAAAATTGTTTCCATTGGTTTGCTTTAAAATAAACGCTGCTTTACCGACATAGCTGGCCGCAAGTCCATTGACCGCCACAACAAGGTGTGTGCAACACTTCAACAATTCTGACTAAAGCTGCGCTATGAAAAATTACTTTTGAAATGCGAAGAGCGAGGCGGTGGTAACAGCAGCCTTAAAAACAGCAACGCCACGCACATCTCATTAATTTTAACTCTTTGCCGGCATGATGCCACAACCAGCAGTGTTCCTGCCACATGCAGTTCAGGGAAGAAGTGGCAGTGTGCGGTGTGTCTGAAAATAACACAGCCGCAGCATGGCGGCAACGAATGTTGCAGCTATACCATCTGCCTCTGTCGGGCTTCTTATTACTCAGCCCCTCTCTCTTTTGTACGGTTTCCCCTTCTGTGCTCCACCGAAAATCGTTTTTCCAACATAGAAGAGAATTATTGTGCTACTCTTATTTTACTTTTTTACTGCTGCTGCCAATCCAATCAACAGGAAACCAATCATGCCACCAAATAGTTTAGCCACACAGTGGGTGCAACAGCTGCGCCATGCGCCCGGTACGTCATTAATTGACACTCAAGCGTGTAGCCACAAAGATGAACGGAAAATTAAAGAAGCGAGTTCGTTTTTTGTTTTGTTTTGTAGTTGACGGCCATGCAAAATGCTGCAGACAAATATAGAATGGCAGCAGAGAACGCCATGGTTTGCATGTTTGCACAGTGGGCGGAGAGTATCAAAAAGTGAAAGTAATTAAATCCTCTATTTTGTGACAGCAATAAGAGACGAGCCCAAAATTTGAGTAAAATTAAGAATATGATGTATTTCCGTTAAGGTTGAATTAATATTTTGCGGACTACCTACACATTTTTGTTTTGTTTTTCTTAATTTCATTTCGTTTTACTTATTTTTATTTTATTATTATATTTTATTTTACATACTCTTATATTTTATTATATTTCAGTTTATTTTAATTTGTAGCTTTTTTATGCAATTGTTTTAATTTACCTAACTTTTTTTTAATTTTTTTTTATTTTTGTATGTAATTTAACTTTTTTATTTTATTTTATTTTATTTTATTTTATTTTATTTTATTTTATTTTATTTTATTTTATTTTATTTTATTTTATTTTATTTTATTTTATTTATTAAGTTTAATTGAATTTACTTGATTTATCTATTATTTAATTTAATTGTATTTTTATTTTCTTTTTTACATTTTTTACATAATTTTTTTAAATTTAATTTAATTTAAATTTGTGTTTCATATTTATTTATTAGCAGCCATTTAAGCATCATCTGCCAGTGTGCACCATCACTGGGATGGCCAGCGTCTGTTATCGGTATTTGATTCTATTTTTTTGGTTACCGTGGCCGCCACTGCCGCCAAGAAGCTCGTGCGTGAAAAAAGCTCACCGCGGGTGGTTTATTGCTTGCAAAAGTTGGCCGCCACAACACCGATGCCTGTGGAGCGCACAACCACCAATGATCTAGCTGAAAGTCAGGAAGATGCTGTAGCATCCTCAGTGCGCGTGTTAGCAGGCAGGTAGGCAAACGGGTTCAATGCTTGCATGTAGCCTCCTCTTTGGCGAAGCGCTTCACCACCCGTGGTGCAAATTTTGCTCATTTTTTTCCTTTAGATCTCTCCTCTTTCAGAAGTCTTCCCCGTCGTATACGCTTAAGACACCTCTTGCGATTTTAATGAGCACGTTGCACATTTTAATGCTTTGATTTAATTGAAAAAGAGTTTTTAGTGCCACTTTAACATACATTTGCATTCAGCGTAACATTTTGGTGATTTCTTAATTGTTTATTATTTGTTTTTACGTTAATTGTTTACCGTCATTTACACATCATTTATGATCAAACCAGTTCGATGTTTTTTTTCTGTTTAATACAATCTCAGTTATGGTCAATTAGCGATTTTAAGTAAGAAAAAACTTTTTTAAATTACACTGTATAGAGCGGCGGTTCTCGAAACCATAAAGTTAGATATTTGGTTCCATGTATTATCCAGTAGGACAGGAAAGGTCTGGCGGCAGTTTCGGCCACTTTCAACTCTAATTATTTAGTTTCAGCAGCAGATACCTTAAGGGCCGGTTGTTCAATGTCTGGTTATCACTACTTGCCGGTTAGACATTCTTATCGACGATTTCGACATCATGCGTATAACATGTGATCGATAAAGCAGTTGTTGTATCTAACCGGAGCTTCTACCTCCGATTTGTGCTAATCAGACATTGAACAACCGGCCCTAAAACTAAAAGGCTTACGTGCGGCGTCAAGTTATGGCTGCGCTGTATCCAAATGACCCTCGATCATGTTTAACAAGCGCCAATCTCTTTCCGAGTAACTGTGCAGATGGACTACTTTAAGCGTATATAAGAGTAGCTTGCTTTCAGGATGTCAGCATCAGCTTACATATGAAGTATTCAGAAACGATTCAACCATGCCTCCGACTATTCGCGAGCAGTTCAAAGCTCTATGACCCCTATTTTTGCTAGAAATCCACCGAGCATCTCGAGGGATTTTCGCTCTCAGTACTAGGTTCAGTAAATCGCCATACTTTGCTTTCTGAAAAAGTTGCTGGTTGCGATGTGAAAGCTGTACAATTTATCTTATAAAATCATCTAAAGTTACTCGAGGGTATGCGAAAACCTATTTTCACCAAACGCTTAACTGCAGTGATCGGCAAGCAGAACTCTTTCAGGTGTGAGTGAGGCTGTTATCAATATCGCCAACGAAGTGAAGTATCATGGTTTAATTATAGACTCAAAACATCTGTGCAAGACTCATATTGATGCTACCACATCCAGCACAATGGTGTGCAAGCGTGTAGCAACAGAAAGACTTTGGGTTATCGAGCAAAAGATTTTGAAATGGATGTGCACCATAATTGTGTGATCAATAAGTGCCTCTATGGCGGTGGCTTGGCTTTCGAGAACTACTTAGTGAACGGTGAAGCAGTAGAGGGCTTTGAGAGGGCGAGGCGCACATGTCGAAATGTAGTTTTTTTTTTCCTAAACCTCACAAAAGAAGGCTTGAGCGAAGGAAAATTCTTATTATCTAGGAACCAGGAAAAGCTAGGTTCCCAGCTGCTAGTAGTCGTTTTACCTAGAGCTGACATGAATAAGAAGAAAAACAAAAGAGCACCATGGACTACACCTATTGGGGCATGTCCTCGTCAGCACTCTGCCATGGAACACAAACGTCTCCTACTTTATTAGGACCTTATTTCATTATTCTTCCCATCACGTATTTGCAGTAGCTGAATGACTTTATAAATACATCGCAATAAATGTATTTTCCTTAATACTTAATTCAGGCAACTACTAGTAAATTTATGGGAAAGTCCAAAAATTTTTTGACCAAAATTCGTACCCTAAATAATCCCTTATTCTTACTTATCTCTGCTACCGAAGTCTTCATTAGCCATCCTCTACAACGATCTTCAGAGGGGTGACTGCGCAACAGACTTAGTAGGGGTTGCGGCGAGGGAAGTTCCTATAAGAATTGCAGCAAACTGATCTGGCCATCCATCTACTCTACATTTAATAACTACATACATAGATGGAAGAAAATGTCGAAATAAAATACTCCGCTCACATTCAAAAAACAGTTTGCTTATTATTTACTAAACCATCACTCTAAAGATTCTTCGCACAAATGACTAAAAATCCAACTAAAATCAATGCAAACCAACTGAAAGTGATCATAAATCAAGCGCGCTTTGATTACTTGTCTTTCCTTCTTTGCTAACCAACCACACAATCTACGAGTATTTAATTAGATTCGTCGACGCATTTACAACACACAAATGACTTATTTCCCAACATAAATGTCATTTATAACAATTTATGCTGTGGTGAGCTACAAACAAATATCCATAGTAAATAGGTAGAGCTCGTGAAGAAGTCACCAAAGCAGGACGCCACAGTCTGTTACTCACTCAGTCATAGAGTCATTTAAGTAGAAAGTCCCGCAGTTACAACTAACCAGACATTTGTGTATTTTATGTATGTATGTATGTACCTACGGCTAGCAGCTCCCAGCTCATACATACAATTCAACAAGCTGAGCGAAGAACACAAAAAACCATCCATCATTTTGTCTATTTACGCTGTAAAATCACTTCATCATCCGCGTTGCACCGCATTGACGCATGTGATCGGTGGTCGTCGTTAGAGTCGCGCAGGCGCAGGCGCAATGCAATGCGTTGCATACTTATTTTATTAATATCGTTGTTGTTGTGTATGCCAAATACATAACAGATTTTTAGTCTTTTTTCAACTTTTTGCTTTTCATTTTCAATCAATTTCATTTTCATTTCATTTATTGCCAAGTCTACACTCCATCACAAAAACGCATAAGCGGCAGAGCAAGAAGATTCCCTTGATTTGGCTTGTTGTTGGGCTTACATACAACATACACATGTACATATACATGCTGATAACTCCCTGGGGGAGTTGTCTGTCTCCTGGGAAATGGCATGGCATGCATAAGGCACAGCAATGCCATTCATTGTTGCTGATGTCTGAATGTCGCGCTACTGCTTGATTGCACCGCCTCGGCGAGACTGTGATGGTTGAGTGGCTTGGTTGCTGGGTTGCCTGTTGGCTGGCTGGTAGCTTGTTGTTGTTGATGGGCGCGTCCGCGCGTCCGTTGGCAAAAGAAGAAGTTGTGAAGAAGAAGTTGTGAAGAAGAAGTTGTGAAGAAGAAGTTGTGAATATGCGGCTTGTGACGCGTTCTTGAATTTTTTGAAATTTATTACCTTCCATTCTTATTACTGATTTCCAACGATTTGTTGCATAAATGCATAACTACCAAGATAGGCGTTACTTAAGTGCGTGATTT